AAAGGTGTAAAATGTTAATACTGATAACTAACAAAGACTGGCAATGTATCAAGCACTTATTGATTAATTATAATAATAATATATGATATAAATGATTACCACCATGACATGTTATCGAGTTCAATGAACAATTAATTTAGCATAACAATGTTTAAACATAATTATCAAAAATCGAACCAGTCAGATATATTCGTAGCTGGAAGATTCGACATAAGGATTTCTGAATTTGGAAAATGAATGAAAAATTGCTATCCGACTACCAATCAAAATGATTCGAGCTGCTTTATTCATTGCTTTATTTGACTTTGCCACTTCTGCCAGACTTCCCTTTGACTCCCAATGGGAATCATTCAAGGTAAGTTTATTTGAAGTAAATCGCTTCGATTGTGCGATTAGTGACTACTATTCTTGTTTCATTGTTCAACAGACTAAATACGGCAAATCTTATGATTCGGCTGAAGAAGAAACCTACAGACGAAATGTTTTTGCCCAAAGAGACTGGAAAAGATCAAGGCTCATAATGAAAGAGCATCCAATGGTGAAGTCACCTACAGATTAGGTGGAACCCTACAACCATCTCTACAACAAAATGGATTATTATTATTACGTTCAAATTGTACAATCTATTAGTTAAAACAAGTATATGAATAACAGTTTATGAAACCCTGGGATGTGTTTACTAACAATGTATTCATTTTTCTTTCTTTTATTTTAATTCAGCTTAACAACCAACAACATATTGTGCTTATCCCAAATCTTATAACGCTCGTGCAATCATTTTTATCGATCGAATATTCATATCGATTCAAAATATTTATAATAAACAAAATTACTTACTATTAATACAAAGCACCAGATAGTGTTTTCTTGACTGATCTTTACAATAACAAGACATCTTATGGTATTTATATAGCTGGTAAAACAATAACAATTGACATTCCAACAAGTGTAGTTAATGTGTCCGACATCGTCAATTGTCTAATTATTTTTTGTCCTCCTCAATATAAACCAGAAAAAAAATCGAAAAAAATCGTACCAATTGGCCACCTTCCCTTGTAAGTTTTATTTTGTGTAAAGGGTGTTGCGGATAAAAACTAGAATTTATCTTACCTAAAGATGATCTTACCTATTTTGATAAAGATGATGTTGACCATGATAGCAATGAAGATAACAAAATTGAAGGCGAAAAAAACGTAGACAAATAAATTCATCAATAAATCGTCATCTTTATCAAAATTTTAGTTAAGATAAATTCTAGTTTTTATCCGCAACACCCTTTACAACAGTTTACGTCTCAATGAATGTCGCCAGTGTATCCAAGCTATTAATAGATACTTAAAGTGTTAAAAAAATAAATTAACATCTATAGACGATCTCCAACTTCATATTTATTCTTATCACCGACCATTAGGGTATTTTCGAGTTACTAAAGATACCAATCAAATTTTTACCACTTCTGCAAATAAAGATTATTGCGGAGAATATAAAATTGTATTTAGTCCAACTCTAGTTGTAAAAGGGATATTCACAATGCTAAACAAACTGTAGATTACTGCTTCAAAATAGTTCGAATTTCCCCTTCAATGTTCAACTCTTCATCGCCCGAAACTCTAACAATTGAACTCGATAAACCACTAGACTTTGATGACACTCAAGAGTATTTAGATATCAAAGCTGGTCTACATAATCATTGCACCAACATAAAACCAAATCACAACAGATCAATCTTCATTTGAAAAATTCTAATTGCAGGCCATTTTGCCTATTCTTTTTGACATCCTCCTTTGATATGAGTTTCTGTTGTAGTTAGTGATGTTAGATATGAGTATTTTTCATAAATCGATATTTTTGATATCGATGTATCAAAAAATATCGAAAAATCTGTTTTGTGGGGAAATTTGTCTAAATTAATTGAATAAGTTAATGACAGTCAGTCACTTAGTCATATGTTCATAGCCTTAATTCAATTATACTACTTTTCAGCTGCAATATGCTAATATCTTTGAGACGAGAAAGAGAGTTCATGGATAAACACGTAAATTTGAAAAAATCGGACGCAATAATGGTCAAAGATGGAACTTGAACCATTATTTCTGTTTTTATATCGATACCATATCGTAACTCATATTGATATTTTCTGCTAAAAAAATATCGATATATATCGGTTGATTCGATATATTAGCACATCACTAGTTGCAGTTTCAATTAAGAAGCTTTTCTACAATCCTTGGATTCTTTAAACTTTACATTTTGAATTTTATGCACAATCTATTAGTCCAAAAAACAAGTGAAATGTAGTTTATGAAATCCTTGAATATGTTAACACTCAATGTATTCATTTGTCTGTAAACTTTATTATCTTTTATTCTAATTCGGTTTGACAACCAACAACTTACAATGCTCATTGAAAATCTTGTTACGATCTTTCAACTTTTTATATCGATTGAGTATTCATATTCGTTCAAAAGAATCAAACACACTTACTTGAATCACTACAAAGCACTAGACAGTGTTTCCATTAGAAATTTGACAAATGGTACTTGGTATGATATTTATGTTGCTGGTGAGACGTCAACTATGTACATTCCAACAAGTGCAGCCTTCATGATCGACATCTTCGATTGGAAAGTAGTAAACCATAGAAAAGATCGATTGATGTTCGTCTATAAAAATAAACCTAAAATTCTGGTTGATCAAAAGACTATCAGAGAGATGAAATCGGAAACTGGAACTAATAATACTTTAACAGGTTCAATAATAGCTTTTGGTGATAATGAAGCTCTTCATGTTCCAACAATATTCAATCCAAATTTAACTGAACCATTTCCTAAATGGAATTATATTGAATTGTTGTATTTCGATGATGCAAATGTAAAGGTTTCTGTGAAGCGATCCTTACCTATGCTTAAAGATGATTGGAAGTTCATTAAAGAGTGGAAAATGACTGATTATATTCATTTCAACGATAAGTTGTACCTTCTAATAAAGCGAAGTATTTGGAATGAAAAGACAAAAAATGTTACTCAAGAGATATCGATAATACGATTGTGTCTCGATAGGGGAAGTGAACTAATTTCGAGTGCAATTGAGATTCGTTATAATCAACCAGAGTTTCAAAATAATCAAATTACTGGAGCTATTTTCATTTGCTTAACCTATTATAAACCCGAAAAAATATTACTGTTAGTAACAAAAGAAGCTTCCAACAAGAGCTTGGTTCATACGCGATATTTCATCGATCATTTTGTTTCATTGTTTGACAAAACTGGACAAGGATGTGCTTCAGGTGCTAATAATTACACCTTAATGCGATACCATTTAAGATCCGAAGTTCGTAGTTGCCAAAAAACTATTTATAAAAATTGTTCTTCTAATCAGAATATTGTGCCTTCAGTTGAGCTCAATTTTGACCGAATATTGGATTATCATTTTATCTTTGCTGATGGAGGAAGCTACAATCCACAAATTGAAAATGCTTACAATCATTACTTCAATCAAACTCATTTTTGCCACAATAAAACTGGTTCGAACTATCATTGTTTCAAGATCTACAAAAACTTAACTACCAATTTGATTCACAATGTTGAATCATTTTGTCAAGGGTATCCTATTTTTAGGTTACATTTGCTGTATAACAGTTTACGTTTTAATGAAAGTCGCAGGTGTTTCCAAATGAACGAAACATACTTAACATGTTATAAATATGGTCAACATTCAAACGATCTCAAACTTCACTATTATATTAATCACCGACCATTAGGATATTTTCGATTTTCCAAATATATCAATCAATTTCATTTAGCGCCCGACGATTTTTGTTACCTCTTCAAAAGTTGCATTCATTGTATGATGTATGGTTTGTTTATGGACTGTGTTTGGTCCGAGTCAAGATGTAAAAAGGAGGAAAAACCTGTTACACGAACTACTGCTGATTACTGCTTCAAAATAGCTCGAATTTTACCTTTAATGTTCAACTCTTCATCGCCTGAAACTCTAACAATTGAACTCGATAAACCACTGAACCTTGATGACACTCAAGAGTACTTAGATATCAAAGCTGGTCCACATAATCATTGCACCAACATAAAACCAAATCCCAACGGATTAATCTTCAATTGCTCGATGAGGTTATCTGAATCGGGTAAATTCAAGATCATATTTAGTCTACAAAATGATAGATATGCTGATGCTATAACATTAAGTGCTCTATCAACTGAAAAGGTTGATGTTGTTGCCCCCGAAGATGATTATTTGCCGACAGTCATTGTATTGGTTTTAGGTTTACTTTTTATTTCATTGATAGTTTATTTAAGTTTTAAAAACGCACACAGTCAAAAGATCCGAAAAAAGTCTCAACAAGAAAAGTAAGAAAA